TGTATCGCAAAGTTGTATTCATAGAGAATAAACCGGTTTTATTTAAGAAAGGACTTGTGTCGCTAAGTTTCGTCGGAACGAATTTACGGAAAATTAACTAACGAACGGAGATATAACAATATCGAAACTGCGATTCATGGTGCAGAAATAGTTTGATATATTTTTCGAATAATGTAAATTTCAAACCTCAGTATTTTCATCATGTAAACGTTAAACTTCCCGGCACATACTTAAACAGATAGTAAAAATGTAGTTGATTAAGGTGTACATATGTAATGTATATGCAAGCGCTGAGCTGATCTACCATTATTTCCATGAATGTTGAGAGACTTGTGTTGTGTGATTTTAAACTCTCGGCGAAATATCGGGCATGAAATAAAGACTTCGGCAGATCAAGCATTGTTTTCAATTAATGTGTGCCTAACTCCCACCTTTACTGAAAACACTGCATAATCTTACATACTGGTACGTTCAAACCAAATCATAACCTTGTAATAAAACGCAGTGACATTAAAAGCTAGTGTTCTATATTTATTGGTAGACGGAGTATCCCCCAAAGAAGAGTGCCGCGTCAATTTCGCGGTATGTCGGGAAAAAGGAGAAGTGTTCACTGGAATGAAAAAACTCTTTGGCCTGGAATAATTCCTACAGATGATGAACATGTTATACCAGCACGTTATCAGTCTATAGCTCGTAGTCCTCTGGTATTTGAAGATTCGGTTACGCTGCCCGTCTGACGATAAATATACATAGGTTAGTAAACTTTCTAATATTCATATTTTGTTTGTAGTAATTTTATAATAATAATAATAATACTAATAAAATATATAAAAATCCTGTTTGTAAGTGTTCGCTCTTTGTTACATTATGTTACTAATTGTTAGTCAAACATCTCTGAAAATAGTAGTTTAACAAATCTATTACCACCAGAGTAATTACAAAAAAATCTCTCCCGGCTACTTAGAAGATTAATTCGCATTTAATGGCTGATGATGTTGGAAAAGTTTTGTTTAAATTTATTCGGTGGTAGTGGATTTGTTAAACTACTATATTCAGAGATGTTTGACCAACAAAGAGTAATTTATTGTTTATTGAATAAATAGCAAGTTGGTGTTTAGCAGTAGTGAATAACAGTAAAGAAATTCTTTTTGTTGTTTTTTCAGTACAGCTTGCCAAGACGTATTGTGAATTGTTAGAACTAAGGTTGCTACAACTTTTGAATGCTATGAAAATTTCTATATCCTAGGTTTGCCTGTCTTTCTGGTTCTTTGGATAGTAAATGAGCAGATTCAAAAATGCAGGAAGAAAAAGTATTCGATGTGTTTGTGCTATGCGATCAAAGCATCGAAAATTGAAACACATCAAAAATTCTCTAGAAGGAATTAATCGCTAGAAAGGTGGACGAAACAACTTTCATTTAAAAGGAAAATAGCGATAGGTGTAGAAGTAGCTCTTATTTTAATTTTACAGTAATTATACAGTCGCAGAAATTCCTTTAACTAAATTTATTGCCATACTTAGTATTAAACAGTTTTTCCCCTTCCCAGAAAAAACTTACTGTTTTCTCTATCTTTCTCCAGATATTCAAGATTGAATCCAGTAACTTTGTCGCAGTTATCGTTGAATTAAAGAAAACTGGTATCCAGTTGTATTTTATGGCATTTTATTTTTTATTATAAAGACATTTTTACGTTTTTCTTTTGTATAAAAAGTGAATGTTTAAGCTTGAAATATTTTACTTTCAATTGTTGTTCCCTTTTAAACTGGCCAGAAGTTTAATCCATTTTTAGCATGTTAGTTTCAAGTTGTTATATTGAAGATTTCTGTTGATTTTTGTGTAAATAAATTTTTTAAAAAACTTTCCTGGATTGTTTCATAGCAATATCAAATTCTGCAGTTACATTCATGTCAAGAACTTGACTTCAACTCTATTCAAAGATCGCAGAAATATTTGGATCGTTATGTTTTGGTAACTTTACGATATTCGTATTGCATATTAGCAGATAACTATCAGTACGTTAACTTAATGACAATTTAGCAAAAAACAAACTAATACATTGTAAATATTCTTAGTGTGTGTATGTGTGATATACAAAACACGCACACGCACACACACGCGCGCGCGCGTACAAAATACTTGTCTGTTTGTCCGTCATCTAACTACTCTTAGGTCGCTGGGCCAATCTAAACCAGATTTTATGGGATGATAGTTTGGAACAAGGGATATTCTAATAGGGTTCACAACCCCTTTACCATTATTATCGTTGTTACTGAGGATTTATGGTCTTTGACGTAATTTAACGTTAGTTACATTCATAGATGGCGCCACGTTCTTACACACACAAAAATAGATTAAATTTTCTATAACACAACATATTCATAATGCGGCGGGGAGGCCACACAAACGTCTTATGTCTGATAGTGCGCTAGCACTCTATAGAGAAATGCAATGAAAAAATGGCCGCCACTATTGCAATAATAGCTAAATTCAGCTAAAGAGTCTACTCTAATAGCCACAATAAGGCTAATATGAATAGCAAACGTAACCTTCTTTTAACTGTTTTTGATTGCGTCGTTCACATTGTACACCTCGACCATTAAAGAAACCTGTACTAAATTAATTAAAATAACACTGAATAAAATAATTCACTTTAATTGTTCCGTGTAATTAGAATATCTTTAAAATATTTAGATTTTAATTTATTTCGTAGATTTAAAATTTGAAAAGCAATTAGATCTGTAAATGTGTAAGTTATATATGAGATGGTTTAAGAATTTTCCGCTAGAGGAAAGAAAAGATTTTGGTGGCATTGCGCAGCCGTGGATACCGAGGTTAAATGACAATTGTAACCACCTGAAACAGTTTGATCGACAGTACTTCGATAACAGCTTTTTAATGTCATGGCATCATCCTCTAATAGCGAAAGTTCAACTTTGACGTGTAAAACTGTTACGCATGAACTGAAAAATGGTAAGGAACCTAGAATACTTATTCTTACACTAATCCTTTTGCGTGTGTGTTACTATATGATGTACCAGATATGTGCCATTAAAATGACTCATCATTTGTGACCCTGTAACTAATAGGGTGTTGTGAATGGAGGCTGAGCGTTAACGCAGCAGTATAGATGTTACTAAATGTAATTCGGATACTAGACTGTCTTAAGTTAGACCTTGCAAGATAGGCTAGTTTGGTCACCCAAAGCTGTCGTATTCTTGAGCGGTGATATTTTAAGATAAGTATACTATAGTACAGGCCTACACTACACTATTCTTGCTGTAGTGTAAGTTGTAACCGTGTAAGACAGTGTTTGTAAACGTTTTTAAAATAAAACATTAATATTAGGAAGATCTCAAAAGAAGTTCAAAGACTGTGAATGAACATATTGAAGTTGCTTTTCATTAAAAGTATCATAGAAGTTTAAAAGAAAATGACTATCTGTATAAAGTATCATCACATTCAACTTAGCTTATGGTAGTAATTTATTTAGATTTCAAAGAAAGTATTACCTGAAGTATGTTGCATTTTACTAGTCCAAGTTTAGAGATCTTGCACACGTACATATTCTCATTTAAATAAAAATGTATAGTATTGGTATAATTTACTTTTTACAACATATTCTAAGTTTAAAGTTTGGTAAGACTTTATTTGATAAAAAGGTTTGAATTAAGTAGGTATTCGTTTTTTGTTGTTTTTTTTTGAAGAAAACTAAAATATAGTATCAACAGAAGTACAAAATAATCACAAACACGTTCATCACAGTTAGTTATTTTTCTATCAAAAATCTGTAGCACTGTATTTACTTGCACAGTCTACATCATAGCATTAAAACTTCAGAAAAATTTTATTATTGATACCAAACTACAAAAGTATTTAAATTAAATAGACCAAAAGGTTTTCAACCTTCCAGATTAACAGGATTAGATTTTAATCAAAGATCTATTAAAATGGAATAATAATACAATTAAAAACTGTTAGCATGCATCTTAATTTAGTTTTAAAAGCTAAAAAGCATAAATTGTTGGCATTAATCTGCATTTGCCTTTAAAATACATTTGCTAAGCCCAGAAATATTGATTTTGAAAATACTTGTATTGTGGGAAAACTTGTGAATTTTTAACTCTATCATTCCTATGTTTATAGATAACTCCTAGTGTCTGGTTTAATTTTAAACACACAATAATGATGATGACAAAAACACATTTTTAATATTTCCTTATCAGAAATTTAAATGTACTTTGAAAAGTTTGAAGGTAAATAAACTCCCAAGTTAGTGTTCTAGAGGAAGATGTTTGTACCCATTGCAGTGAAAGAGTTGAAGCATTTGTTTTGTGAGATGGGTGCAAAATTTTACTCAGAACTGACATCAAGATTTATGTTTAAAATTAGTTTTTAGCCCTTCAAAAATGATTGTGCAAGTACTACCACCCCCACCCCATAGTATACTCTAACCTCAAATTTCATAGCTAACTGAAATAAGTAAACTTTGTGAAACCAAGCTTTACCAACAAAAAGGCTGAAAAGTGCAGTCAAATGTGGACGAGTTCCTTTGTGAGCCAATCAAAATTAAGGTCATTCATGAAATGAATTTGTGATGTATTCATAGAATAATTACACAGGCTTGCAAATTTTAACTTCATAAAAGTTGTTTTGGTTATAGTAACACATTTTCCATAATTCAGCTATGCATATTTCAAAAGCATTAATCTTTTATATATATATATATAGTGATAAATATAATAAAAATCGGGGAAAAAAACTTACCTAGATCAAGTTATTATTTTGTTTACCACAATGAACATATTTTATTATTAAGTTTGTTAACCAAAATACAAACAAGCTGAAGAAAAGGGAAGAACATTGATATCAAATGAATATGCATCCTCATTCATCCTGATTTTTTTGTGAAATTGTCTTTTAGTCTCAAAAGTGTGTGTTTTGGTCTTTCTTTCATGTATTGTGTTACGACATTTTGTGAAAAATCTGTATGTGAGGGAGGAAAATGGATATCATTTTTGGATTCAGCATACAGGAATTACTGTAGAACACAAAAAATTTTAAGATAATAAAACCATTGCAGGCCTGTGTTATTAGTAAAAATTAGTTAATTAACAACTTTAACATATAGGAAAGGCAGTGCATTTTGGTAACGCTATGTTCCAACAATGGCTTTTATGTCATGTTGCTTAGCAACAAAAGTATAACCTAATATTATTGTTAGTTTATGTATTGAAAGTATAAATTAAAATGTACAGAGAACAAAACTGGAAAAATATTTGTTGATTTTTTAATTTAGAGTGGCCTTTGATTAAAGGGGTTAGTTTTTATTAGAATTGTTGGTAAGATAATAGAAAATAGCTTAATTCAGAGATGATTTAAGTTTAAAATTGAATCCATATTTTTACTTTCATGATAAATTTTATGCACTTGGCTCTAGGTTAGATGATCCCACACTACGTCTTTACTCTAGGCTTATTATACCAACACTCGCTACACTTATAAGGTTTTGTGGCATACAGCCTCCTTTCACCCCATCATTAAAATTGTAATGGGCAAACAGTAGTTGAATTATTCTATCAAGACAAATGCATTTTGGCTTTTATGACTCCTCTTATTCCAAGAAACCAAGCATGATGGGACACACACTGGCTTTTATATAGGTTACATAATGTATGTGTTTTTGATCAAATTATCCAAGGGTAGGTGTCATTAAAAGCATAAATTGTTCATTTTAAATGTTTATTTTTTATAAATAATATCAAAATGTAATGTGCTCCAAAGTTATTTACTCCTCAGGTATAACAACAACATGGTTTGGAATTACCCTCTGTTGAATTCGAGGTTGATATTCAAATAGAATGTTGTGGATGTGGAGCTATTAGTTTGTTACATATTTCAGCTGTGCACTCTAAAGAGGACTATAACACAACATTATTTGGTCACCCAATTCATGTCTGGTAGGGCTGTGCCAAAGATCAATAAAGTGACATCTATATCAATATTTTATTTTATCAATATGAATAGTTTTATTTTAGTTCTGTTATGATTTAAAAAAGTTCTGCACATTCAGAATAAACAAAGGGAACAACAGCAAAGTAGGCTGTGAAGATTAATTATTTTATATGCTCTACCAGTGATGTTATTGCAAATATTTTCATCAGTAAATAACATGATATTTGTGATATTTAATATATAATTATATAAACATAATTATATTTGTACCTTAATTTACTGTATCATGATGTGTATCGTATCATGACCATTGTATCGGGATACGTGTATCATGAAGACCTTGCTGATACAAAGTACTAGTGTCTGGTATTGTTCAGGAACAAAGATTGTGGAATGCTGAGTTTATATTACAACTAAACATGAAACCATGATATCTAGGCTCTTGTCAGAACACATCCTTTGCCCTTTCAACACCACCCAAATATAATGTACTTATGCTGTGATCAAGATAAGGATGTTTCTGACAACAGTGATACGCATGACTAAGTTACAATACTATAAATACATTTTGCATTCTGGGCCAATTATGAGAAAGTAAAGTTTATTTTAAATGAATACCATGCAATACACCAGCAACATGTACTTATATTTTGACCAACCATTCCATTGTACACCTGACATAAAATACGGTGACATACCTTCATCTATACTTATATGAACTGATGTATTATTGAATTTTTGTTAATAAATATGAAACACTTAAACTATTTCAGAAATAACTAATTTGGAAAATTTACACTGTTTAGTACATAAGTTCCCACATTGGTGGTTGCTATCTTGTGAATTATGGCAAGGGCACACGTTACAAGTAATTTCTCATATTTGTAAAATTTGTAAATTTTCATCCATGCCTACTATTTTAGGATCTCATTGACATCCATTCTGTTAGTGGAGCAAACTTGATTTTCTAATTCTGAGGCTAGTAACTTCTTTTAATACCTGAATATCCCACATAATTTTCACCTATACTAGAAATTTCAAGTGGGAAGAATTCATATGAAGAAAATGACTAGTTTTCTAATAATGCTAACTGTTGAGTTAAAACAAATTATAAATGTATTAATTTGTATTTCATATGAATGTTACATATGGGTGTATTGTGTTAATTTTTGCACATTTGTAAGAAAATGAAAGCAAATTGTTTACACTATCTAGTATTTGATTAAAAAGGTTGGTTCAGTTTTGTTGAAATGAGGTTGTGGCTCTTAAATTTAGTATTTGTCATCATTTTTCTGGATTACTGTATAGGTGAGTAGCTGATAATTAACTAGGTACCAAAGAGTAAACAAAAACTGGTTTTCTAGTTGGAGATCAGATAATTTGTATTTTTCCTGTGTAGTAGAAAGTGACTCTGGCTGTCAAGTGATTGGCTCATTAGTTTATTACTTTCTAATACTTTTAAGTGCAAATACATTTCAGTGAAAGTTTATTTTAAAGTGCATTTTCAGTAATTTACTCTGCATTGTTTTACAATATAATTAACTGGTGATGTTTCTCCTCTTGTCAGTGAATTATTTGTAGACTTGAAATTGTAGTTTGATCTAATGCTAGAGAATGTTTTAGGAGTAGTTAATCTATGACACCAGTTAGATTCCACAGGAAAAAATAACTACTGTAGTCTAGAAACATTCTAAACTATACAGTTATTTTACATATTTGCATTAAACCCAAAATGAAATATTGAAGAAGAAGAATCAATTTCTAGCAAACAAAGTTATTTCATTAATTTTTGTTGCAGGCTCCACCATATGTAGTGTAAAATCTGGATAAATCTTAAGTTATGTATTATTGATCTTACTTTCACAAAATTCTTGAGTTGATTTTTCTCTGTGAGATAATCAATTTTGAAAGTATAAAGTAATTCTAATTATTAAATGCAGTAATATTTAGTTCATCTGATTAATCATATAGATGCAAAAGTTCTGTTGTTAAAAACTGCTAGATAAATGTTATTCTGT